GTCTCAAAAAACGTAAATCTAGACTATTTATGTTTGTAATACTTAATAATAATAAGTACAATGAATGTTACGTTATTTAAAAACATGAAAATGTTTTCATTTAGTATTGTTCAAACATCAATTTGAAAGTCGTAGGGAAAGTTTAGTCTCCTACTTCCGAGAAATGGGTATTATTCATTCGTAGAAATTATGACACTCTCTCCTACGTCGTTCGTGTCGTAAACATCAACTCGTGAATAATAGATATCATTCTACGCTCGTTGAAAAATATACTATTCCAGACTTTTTTCATGCGCTTATATCTCGCTTTAATATTATATAAACACATTAGTTGTTATTTTAGTACCACATGAAATATTGCATATATTGTATTAAGGTGAATTATAAATTTAAATTATTAAGTTATGCAATTTGTCGCAAAGTTCGTTTTTAATGACATTATAATTTTAATTGTTTTTTCTAAATTTTTAGTCTCAAGCTCTACATTAAAAATATATCAAGAAATAATTGTCGTAAACAAAAAAAAAAACAAATTGAAAAAACGGTATGTCATAGATTCTTTAAACCATTTTATCTATTGTCATTTATAACTTGTAGAATTGTTTCATTAATATTATATTCACTTATATTTATTAGACTCGAAGATGAAGGCAATGACCTTCGAAACGTAGGTCTAAAATCTTATTTTATGAATAAGTTATGAAGATTTTAATAAAAACTTATTATATGAATGAATGTCTGCCTAAAAAATTAAAGGCCTCTTCAAACCAATTCTAAGAAAACGTCCATCTGTCATCAACGCCTTAATCGTTCAACCTATTTTCACCAAAATTTATTTTCTCCAAATCGATCTGAACGAACTGAAGGCGTTGGGAGTTTCAAGCAGATATATTGATTTTGAGGATACTTTACATGTAGCCTCAATAACAGTTTTAAATTTTCTTAAAAAATGAAATTCATTCTTTACAAACCATCTTAAAATAAGCACATGAACAATTATTAAAAAATATTAGTATATTTCGTGTCATTTTGCGTGAAATAGAAACAATATTTTTATTTTTTAAACAATGTTCTCCTCATAATGTATCCAAATTTTATCTGTAAATTTTCTTCTCGTCAACGGATGATAAAAATAACGTTATTCTCATATCCAGCGAACTGTCTGCATTTTCGAAAATCGCAAAATTGTAATATTTTAAAACAACAAAATTGAAAATAATTATTTTTGGATTAAACAAAATATCTTTTAAAAAATCGTATACAGTTTTTTGGAAAAAAAAATGATTTTGCGTAATTTGCGCTTGAAATTTATGCTATTTATAAACAACATTTTCTCAAAAACCGCTTCAATTATTTTTTCACGGATAAAAAAAGGAACGCTGAAAAAATAGCATAGGTCATTTTGTTGAACTCTCTAAATCATCTAGAATTGAAAATTTAGAAATAATGCGGGAACGTATGTGCTGTTAAAATACTGCTAGCAGATTAAAGTGAAGAAATACGTTTGGAAAAAAATAATGTGAGAAAGGAAATATCACGCATGGTTCGTTTGTAACGGCATTTCTTTGGCGCTACGGTACTTCTAGTATTGTTGGGAGACACCACGGAAGACTACCAATCAGAGCAGCCAGCCGCTACAATTCTCCCCCGGACAGCGGCTGAATTAGACTTTACTAAGTAGGTGATGTCGAAACTCCGCCACCTCCAGAACTCAAACCCTAGCCTCTCCCAGTCACAGTCGTTGCAGCGTCAGCAACAATACAACTGTGGGTAAACTCAGCCAGTCTATCTCTTCTTGCGTACCGGCGATATTTTAATGTGAGAAACAGCGTACTATCTGTGAGTCCAGAAGTGACCAACAAATTTATGTAATGACAAACTAAATATAGATGACGCTCGTTTTTGCAGGAGCTCGTCACAGCGGTGACACTTAATTGCAGCGTCCTTCCACAAAGTCGCCTGGAACTCCGACCTTCTGTTCCGTGTCGTGCCATTATGACACGCCAAGAGACCTTATGGAAAACACCCACCCTGCCGTTTTTCTTTCTTCTTTACCATGCTCTTCTGTTAACAATAGGGAGACCTTCGTAACAAATTTGCTAAACTTTTGCAGAGAAAGAGGAGATAAGTAGAATCCACATCCATTTAGCGAGAACAAACAGAGGAAAAATTGCAAGAGCAAGGCCAGAAATGAAACTACATATGCAGCTCTCACGAAATAGTAATGCACCAATTTAAACATTTTTTGTTAGTGACGCAAAAAAATCGCTGGATCTACACCATTCAAAGCAGAATCGCAAGTTGGAATCCAAGTCGTAGAATTATTTAAGAAAATAGTAAAAAATACAAATCTCTTAGCTGTTTCTCCCCAGAGCACTATGCCAGACCAGACCTGACCAGTGTTGTCTTCTCTCTTTGCCACCAAGATGTGATTTCTGCCCCTGGCCCTGGCGGGGCGAGCGGGGACTTGTGTCTCGGGAGAGCGAATGCGCAGCCGCGAACGCATACGAAGTCAGCCGAGCCATCGGAGAGCTTGCGCGCTCCCGAGACAAGTCATTTTCATTCGTTTGGAGTTTGAATCGGGCGTTTTCATGCTCTTAGGATTGCTGACAATGATAGCTCATGGGCAGCTGACAAGCACACTTGTGCCTCGGGCGAGCGAAGTGCGGAGCCGCGAACGCATACGAAGACAGCCGAGCCATCTAGCACACTAGTCGTTTTCATTGGTTTGGAGTTTGAATCAGACGTTTTAATGTTCGTAGTATTGATGACAATGATAGCTCTTGGGCAGCTTACAAGCACACTTGTGCCTCGGGCGAGCGAAGTGCGGAGCCACGAACGAATACAAAGTCAGCCGAGCCATCTAGCACACTAGTGGTTTTCATTGGTTTGGAGTTTGAAACAGAAGTTTTCGCGCGGAACTTCGCTACGCCTGTGCGAGTTGAGGACGAGACTCGGGCCTCGTTAACATAAAACATCCTTGAGTGTGTGCAACGCATTTTATACGAATACTCATCACAAAAATCATCTGCAAAGTAACAAAAATTAGTTTCTGACACGTATCCAATTAAAGTTTGACGCCATGGAAGTCTGATTGGCTCGCTCGACAACTCCGCTCGGCTCGCTGGCCTTCTCGGCTGTCCTCGTTCACAATCTTGGCTCCGCGGTTTGCTCTCCCGAGGGACAATCCGAGCGGCGAGCGGTGGGCGCGAGGGGGGGGAGGGAGGCGGCGGCGATGTAACCAGATCTTTTCCCCGTGAGGAGACAGCACGGCGCAGTTCATCCCCTGGCGGTGCTGGTGCCAACTGACTGGTTGAGACAGGCAGCAGAAAAATCAAATATTTATTTATTTTTTAAGTAGGATGGGCTAAATTTATAATCTGTCCTCATAATCTATTGCTAATGACATGGAGCGCCATACTATGCGGAAAATTAATAGTTCTAGAGTCGGCGTCGGAAAGAATGTGTTAACACTTTCTTCTCCATTATGTTCGGCTCTCAATCGTTTTGTATCCAGTTTTCAGGTCCTTCCACGCAAATTTTAGTACTTGGCCCATTCGAAAAGAATGATTCCCAAGGTTGTGAACAAGAAGAAAATATAATTTCATAGGAAAATTTCATTGTAGCAGATACAGCACAAATTATTATACGCGCACGTTTTCTTGAGTTCCAGAATACCTACCCCTACTCCTTAGTAGCCAATAGTAGTTGAATTAAGAATAAATGATAGCAACGAACGTTTTAGAAAAAAAATCTGAAAACCAGAATTTCGCTCCCATGTAGTATCAACTATTTTGCATCGAAAAGGGAAGAGCAAGTTTGATGCAAAATTCCTTTCGGCAAAATAATTCAACTCCCCACTTCTCTCGCAATTAGCGAAGCGAGAGCTCAAGAGCACCGCCCCACCCGAGACAAGCTCTGGTCGGTCTTCCGGCATGTGCGGTAGTGTGGTGCATGTCAGAGTAGAAGCCTGTGTAGAAGAGGTGAGGATAGGACGAGGAAGAGGAAGGAACGATCGCGCGCGGTCCGTGGCCCGTTTGTTAATGTACTGCTCCTACATTCACCTGGTGTTGATCGGAAACACCACTGGAAACTTCTGATCAGAGCAGCTGGTCGCTATAATTCTCCTCCAGACAGCAGCTTAACTCGATCTATGTGTCGAATGTCGTGTTACAGTGAGGACGCAACTCTAGGGCCAACCGGTAAGAGGTACTACCGCAGTTGCGTCTGTTGATGCACTGAGCCACCTCTCTCAGTTAATTTTGTTTGTGGTTACGCAGAAAATATGCAAATGTACAGTGACTGCCGCAATAAAGCTTTTTCATGAAGTTGTTTTTCCAACAAAAGTTTCTCTTGACTTGATGCAGCACAATATGAGAATCGTGTCGGGCATTATGGAATCTTCCTCGACCATGAATGAAGACTAGCAGTAAATGGTGGCGCGAGTGCATAGACCCTCTCCAGAGAGCGGTAAGAGGACGAGAAGAGAAACGAAGGCCCCCCCCCTCTTGAGGACGGAATTCGTTTATCAAATCCGATTCGACTCGAAACTAAAGCGGTAGGACTTTCGGAGTCGGACTTTCGGAGCGTAGCGGAGTTTCCTCTGTACCGCCGAAAAAAACCTTTAAAAATGTATTTATTAATAATAATGGAGTTCTGAGTTATATTATGTCACTATCGTATCAAAAGTTTTCTTTGGCAGTTTGCTAACGGCCGTCCGCAACACATTTAAAGCTGTTGTTCATTCCGCCATAAGGCCAGTGTAAAGCGACGAGGCGTGACGTCATGCATTCACTTCGCAGGCTTCCCGGCGGACCAACGCTGTGGCCAGGCAGCCTTCGAGGGTGGGGCCTAGGTCCTGCCAAAGGGTGTGCTCACCAGAGAGTATAACTATGCAGCTCAGCGACTAGCATTGAGCACCAACTAGTTTTCCTAGTACGCGGTAGGGGCGCTACCAACTTATGCCTGCATCGGAAGAGATTGTGAATATAATAAATACAATGTTTAAATATACTAAGGTAAGAAAAATATTGTAATTGTAATACTCATTTTAATTTGGTCGCGCTGTTGCGCTGCTCCTGCACCCCTACCTTCTACTCGCGTGTGCAGGCGGAGCTTCAGCATTTGCAGCCCATTTAGAAAACCACGAGCCGCGGCCTATCAAAATACTTAAATAACTACTATAGTAACTGTGCTTGGAAGGGGGTGAATTTTTTTTGCCTCGTGGCTGGAAAACGTTAGCTCCGCCGCTGCAGAAAGTCCCAACAGCCGTCACAGAGGACCGCTCCATCTCCAGTTGATCTTCGAAGTGACAGGGATGGACTCTTGTTTTCTTTGAAAGGAGAGTATTGTTAGAGAGATGACTTTTTCCTTACTAAAACAAATACTTCATAGATTAGCTTATAACGTGTTGCTCATAAATTGATTTGAAAAACTAACTATTGATTGTACGAAGTAGCAAAGACTTTCTCGTACTATTTAGTTTTCTAATTTTTTGGCCTCTATTAGGTTTTTTGTTTTGCCCCACCCTCTTCCTAGTTGCTATCGCAACCCAAACTACATTTCCTCAGAGTATTTATTAGCTTTTCTTTATCTCGTAGTTATATAAGGATGGAGTTTGATTGTTATTAAATTTAATTCATAGTAGAAAAAAAGATTTCCACTTTTTTTGGTTCTCAATCATTGTGTACCTTAACGGTGTAATTAAAACGAGCGTTTAAGAATATTGTAGAGTAAAATCTCAATCCGTGTGGAAGTTTTCGTTGAAAAATTTAGAGCCAATTTACAGAAAATGTTTGTGGGCTTCTGAAAAATTACATTTTGAAGCTCATTTTCACCCACAAGTTATGCGTTTTGGAGAAACTTTACAAGGAATTATTTGAAGTAATTCTATTCACAAAAACAAGTAATGCTACTACAGAATGGCACAGACTTTCTTACTTTGAAATGTGCTGGCGTACTGATGAATTCCATTGCACCGTCAATGAAATCATTTTAAAAATGGATGCACAGAATAAAAAAGAACTTTAAACTCATAGTGAAAAGTTGACATGAAATTTTATTTTTTGTTTATAACATATTCTTCTTTTCATCTTATAGTTCCCTTCAATATCGCTCTCTGAATGCAAAAATACTGCTGCAAAAAATTGAAGAGCTCTCTTCACATAATGCACATGCAAATTAAAAGCAATAAAAACGCTTGGACGCAAACGGACACAAAAATCAAATTAGAAACTCGGCATGGTGAAAAAATTTGAGTATTCCAAGGTGCATTTAAAAAAATGTGTTTGAAGTTCTGTCAAGAGATGTATGTTTTTTTAATGACACGGCTTCATGATTATCAGAAAATAACTAATAGAACTATAAAGTTATATTACAAATCTAAAATCCACATAACACTCCATATTATCAGCTATTACTTTCAATATACACTGAAGAGCCAAAACATTTGTACAGCTTCGCGTATTGAAATAAAGAGATCTGGAACCGATCAGAATACGGCGCTCCGGTCGGCAACGACGACCAAAGTCTGGCACAGTTTATACATCGATTACTACTGTTACAATGGCGATTTATCACGATTTAAGTGAATTTGAACGTGGTGTTATAGTCGGCGTAAGAGAGACTATTGCATCTCCGAGTCGCGATGGAATTTGGATTTTCCTGAACGATCTGTACCGTGAATATCGGGAATCCGGTAAAACGTCAAATCTCTGGCATCGCTGCGGCCGCAAAATGATCGGGAAAGAACGAGGCCGACGAAGACTAGGGGACCGGGAGAGATGGCTCAGAGCATCAACTGATGTCTCTGCAGTCCCTCTGACGAGAGGTCCTAGGTTCGAGTCCCGACGATGGCAGGATTTTCGACATTGGCTTGTCCGCTAGGTAGTTAAGTCGCTGTCTGCAGCAGAATTCTAACGGCCGGCTGCTCTAATCGGTATTTTCCAGTGGCGTCTGCCTTCAACTTCACGCGAATGCCGGAGCAGTAACCTAATAAACGAGCCGCGGACCGCGCGCAATCTTTCCTATCCCGTCCCTATTATATACTCACCCCTTACTTACACAGACACTTACAGGCAATACGCCATCACAGATGCCGGGAGAGCGATCGGGAGCTTAGAACTTATCCGGTGCCCCGCTGGTGGGAGATACCTCGTCGTGGGAAATGCCACTAGCCGATGGCGCCATACAGCGAGGGAAGAAACCCTACAATTACGGGACAAATGACCTCAGTAATAACTAACCAACCGGAGCCCGAACCCTAGAACTTTCCGGTGAGTGACGCTGCAACAACAATAGTGTGTGCCCTGAGCTACCTCAGCGAGTGCATCACGAAGAGAAGCAAGTAAGCATTGAACTTGAACCACTCCGTCTCCGCACTCAGCTGTTCTCCACGACATCCACAAAAAACGGAAACCAGTAAGTCCGGTTTTACGAGTAAATTACCTGGTTGGCATTGATTCTGGAATGGGTAGCTGTAATGCTCAACGGTATTATTAAGCTATCTCAACGTTAGGAACTGAAATGTATTATTTTCCTTCTCTATACATTAGAAATAATGTTAAAGGTGTCTGAGAAGAAAGGATCCGAAAACTTATTTTCTTTTGAAAATGCCAACATCTTCAAGAATTTGAACACAAGCATACATTAAGTTAAACTGCCTGACGTGCACAAGAAAGTGTATATGATTCTTCACGAAAGATAAATATATTATTTATGTACTACTTACAAACTTTTCATTTTTCACTTCACATCATAAAAGGTTTCATTTTGATATTGAAATGTATAGTAGTTTTGTCGTGTTATTCGACAGTGTACATAACGCGAAGCTATTCCACGTCAGTTGACAATGGCATTCTTTTACGTACTTTTGTCCCGTATATTGTTTCAAATTCCAACGTACGTGAAATGTGCAATGGTCATCTGTAACACATCATGAAGTATAGTCTCTATTAGTGGAGAAGTATTTCTTATTTGTATTTCCTATATTTTGTATGTTGGTTAAATAAGGTACATAATGAATAAAAAATTTTAGAATTTCACAAATGCCAAATTCTCTAATAATCTGCAAATGGAATTTTAAAAAATCGATTGACTTTCATTTTCCCACTACAAATCTAAAAATCAACAGAATCTTTTGACTTAAGAAGAACAAACCTTTTATATTCTTGTGCTGGGAAAGAACATGGTATTCAACCTAGCCAGTATTAAACCCAAAATCACGACTCTAAAATAACAGCTTTCTGCATACATGTTTCTACATTCTACACTGCTGTTTGTGCAAATTGTAACATCCAGAAGGAATGATCGGAATCACTTAAAAATTGGTGGATGCGTAGGACATTGTATTTATAAGAAGACATTAAATTTGCATATAGATGACATGCACGTTGGCCTAGCAGCGCCTTGCTTTGTGTGGCAGGTCAGGTCAGGTCTGTGTTACTCCACACTCAGTCGATGTAGAGCCGTTAAACGACGAGGAAACCTGCAAGCAAGTGCCTAGTTGGCGCCAAAGGGCGCAAAATCAGCATCAGAGTTCAAAGAGCACAGAATGATCGGTCTCCGGGAAGCAGGTGTATTGAGGCCATTCCCTCGAAGCGCTGCTACGACAGTCACATATGTGTGTAACCAATGCATAGAGGATGGTCAACCGATGTGATCATAGCGCGAAATGACCGCCATATTGTCCGGATGGCCGTAACCGCCAGAACGGCGTCGTGCACTGAGTTGGCTCGGCTTCGAAGCAATGCAACGGGTGTGGTCGTGCCTGTGTCGACGGGTCGAGGCCGTCTGCTGAGGGCTGGACTGGTGGCACGCCACCATTGCGTCGGATTCCGTCGACAACAAACCATCAACGCTTCAGACAGCAATGATTGCATTGCCTTATTTTACGAGGCGAGACTCCGGCCATGAGGCCCACGCCGCTCTCCCACCTGACCACGCCCCTTTTCATCCGTCGCCGCTGCGCACCTGTCGGAGAAAGGACGCATCGGGCGACTTAAAGTTAGCTCAGAGGCGCCATTTAGGCTTGAGCATGGGCGCGTGAACGTGTTCACTGGTGAGCTGAGTGGCGAAATGTAGTGTTTACGGCTGCGTTACAGCGATGGCTGCGTACGTGTTGGACGCTACCGTAGTGATCGCAATCTGAAATCCGCGCCATAGCTGACAAACACCAAGTGTGATTATTTGGGGCGCCATTGGCTACAATGCGCGATCGCGCCACATACGTATTGAGGGCAATCTGAACAGCAACCGATACATCAAGGAGGTACTGCCCCTCCTGCAAATATCTCACATGCCAGCTGGACAATGCCCGACAACATGTGGCGAGCTTTCTGCGAAGAACGACGGGCACCACTGCTTCCCGGCCCACTCGTTCGCCTGACGTCGCCCATCGAACCTGTCTTGGATGCGATCGATCGGCAACTTGTTCATTGTGGTCCGCCTGCAGCCTCTGTCGATGCTTTGTGGTCGCACAAAGAAACCGCGTGGCAGTGTGATCCCCAGCAGCATACCTAGGATCTCTTTAAACCCACGCCACGACGTCTAGAGGCTCTGATGGCAGCGCGTGGCGGCTTCACACCGTACCAAATACTCAAGGTCAAAATGTGCTGCAATTCTAATCATTTGCATATTGTGATATTGCTAATCAGTGGAATAAATTTCATTGTAATAGTGTGTCTCCTTCTTGGTATTGCAACTTCCACAAACATCAGTGTAGAATACGTTCTCACATGTATTAACTCGTGTACAGAGCCAAAAACTTAGTGTTGAAAAAGTTGTACAACGGTGCGGAAATCGATTTTGAGATTTTAAGGGAAATACATGTTTTGGGGTCCACTGATAAATAATCCTTTTTTCTTTTCAAAAGGTCCGCCCGACTGCCCATCTGTCTTGTTCTAAACAACACTAGCGAGTCAACCATTCCTAGGAATTTTGCCAAAATTAATATTCCCCCAACCGGTCGGCCCCTAGTGGAAGCCCTGCTACTGGGCAAAGGTTTCCTCTTTGAATCTTC